CGCCCATGAGTATGTTCGTGTGCGCCAAAGCAAATCAGGTAATGGATGAGTTGGTGCACATGGTTTCGGATGCGTCTCTCGGCGATGGTGGGGTTTGGACGGAAGCCTTGGATATGCTGTCGCCCGCCCGTCGCCCCGAAGCAGCTGTTCTTATGTTGAACTTGATGTTTGTTGCGATCTCTTCGTGGCAGCGCAGAGTAATGGACGTGGTCCCCCGCATGCCGTATTTGTTGTTAAGGATGTTGGAATCTCCAAACAACCGTCGCGATCCTATTCGGGAGCACATTGCGAATCCACTTCTGACATCCGATGACTGTTGTCTTCGAACCTCCCGCTACTCATATGTTGCGTACAAGGTGACGCATGTATTACATAGCGACCTCGTTGAGACGCGACGTGCAGGAATCTGCCCTCCTGCGTTACATCAGTTTCTGCTCACGTGGAGGAGCCGTCTCAAGATGGACACGCAACGCGGCGAAGGATGTATGCCAGTGTTGCAAAGCCTGACAAGTCGTGCACACAATATGGATCGAATGCTGGCCACAGCCCGCATGAGCTTGAAACTTGGGAACCGCAATATCACTGTCGACGAATGTTGCGCGTGGGGCCGACAAGTTTCTGCAAGATTGGCCAGCGGGGCAGACGTGGATCGCCTCGCGCCGCCAGTCGTTGCTGCGCTTCGGGCTTGCCAACCGCCTGATTGCAGCCATGCCAGGACTGGGCCAGAAAAGAAACGGCTGATCCCCCCCCCCCCCCCCCCCCCCCCTGACAGACTCACCTCCCGCCCAGTATCAGGCCTAGGCCAAGCCATGAGAATTTCCCAAACGAGCGTCTTATGTGCACTAGTTTTGGGAACAAGGGGCCGCATGAGGCCCAGTATCGGGGTGGGGCAGAATTTTTGAAAATCTGGGCGCTCCTTTTTGTTGCATATGTTCCCCAAAGGAGAACAAACGGGCCGCGATGGGGGGGGGGGGGGGGGGGGGGGGGGGGGGGGGGGGGGCAGGGCAAGACGAGCGGGGACAATGGGGCCACTAGAATCACCGAAGGAGGAGGAGGAGGAGGACGAGGAGGACGAGGAGGAGGATGAGGAGGAGGAGGAGGATGACAATGAGGAGGGGGAGGACAACGTGGCCATTGAAATCCCCGAAGAAGGGGGATGATGATGATGGGGAGGAAGAGGAAGAGGAGGACAGGGAGGGCACCGCCCCCCCCCCATGAGTTTTTCTCATGCAAGCTGCTGCGTTCATTTGCTTTGGCTGCTAAGAGAGTTGCTGAACATAGGGCTCGATGGGTCACCACATTTTCGATCGAGGGCGAGCTCGCGAAACTTGCTTGCGTTGTTGCTTGGCAGTGCGGCCATTGCTTGTGCGTGGCACCTGGTCAGATTGTGTCAAGTGAAGCAGGCGAGTTTTTCAAGATTCTGCAGCCAGTGCAATCGAGTCCCATATATGATTTCTTGGGTGACTTGGGGACTGCCGAAGGAGATGTACACAAAACTGTTATAGTGATGGAGCAGATGGAACTTTCTTGGTTCAACAGCGTTAGCACTCGTTCGGCTGCTCGGATCAATGTGGACAGCAAGGATTCCCACGATCTCAAGTGGGCTAAGCCGAATCACAAAAAGAAAGCAAAACCTGCCGAGGCCGAAGCTGAAGCCGACCATGTAGACGGCGAGGGTCTTGACTTGGGCGCGCTGCTTGAGCAACTCACGGAATATGATGAGGTTGACCCTGCCGTCGCGGATCCAGCCCCGTATGCAGTGCCAGACGAGGGCGATGGCAACGACCATGACGACGGCCCCCTGGCTTGGTAAAAGACATTGATGGCGGCGAAGTGGGGGCCGACGATGCCCCGAAAAATCCTGGCCCTGAGGCCGAGGTTGCTGTTGTGAATAAGCTATTCTTTTGGTTTTCTTCCCGAGCGAAAAAGAAGCGCGCAGTGCGACAGGTGGCCGCATTTGTAGAGCACAAGAAAGATATGTTGCGCGAGGCTCGGGCTCTGGCAGAACGGCGCGACGTGGATATTACAAATATGAGCGTGTCGCTCATAAAAGAACAAGGTGGCCCAAGTGCTTGCGTGTTGTTCGTCCAGTGGGTCGACGTGTCAACATGTAGAGCGAGACCGGCGACGGTCGACAGAGGGGGGGCCGTCAGCATTGTTGCATTTGCTGCGCCTGTATCAACTTACGAGGGTTGGGAAGTGATCATCGCTAGTGTGCCTGTTGTGATGGCTCGTGTACCCGCCTCCCTACGCGACCGCGTGCCTCCGTGGTGTTTGAGGATGCTGCGCCATGCAGAGGCGCAGGAGTTTTCTGGCCCCCTTGCAGTTGTCGCAGGGCCCCATTGGATGACATACAATTGTCTCGTGTGTGACGCAGTCGATGGCGAGGGCGAGCCTGCAAACGGGCCCATTCCCAAGGATGCCGATCTGTACGTATGCAGCACTTGTTTCATACTCGCATGCCCAGTGCGCGATGGGGTGGTCTAAAGATCCAGGGTTCGAATGGGATGAGGGTGTTTGTCCTTGCTGTTGCTGACTTGCCTGTCGTTCGGAGCGGCGGCGCCGCTGTCGCTGCGGAGAGAAACGACTAATCAACACGCCAACGCAGACAACGCAACACAACATCGCAAATGACTCAAACCCCACAACAACATCACTCAAACAGAAAAAAACAATACGACTGTCTGCGAGGCGATAGAAACAGTTCTGCATGGTTTCGTTGTGAGTGTCTGGCGCGTTGCCTCGAGGATTAATCGGCCGCTCAGGGCACAACCAATCAGCACTTGCTTGCCATGCCGTGGCAAGGCGGGGGGGGTCTCCGGGGGTCTCATTGCCATCCGATGGCAATCAGTTGGCATGCAACCCAGCTTGCCACGACATGGCAAGCACGGCCCATTGCCACCTCGTGGCATGCAAGGCCCATTGCCGCGCGGTGGCAAGCAGCCACATGATGCTGACGTTGCCACCAGATGGCAACCGCCCCCCTGATTGCCACAAGATGGCAATGGGAAGCTGCTTGCCATCGTGTGGCAATGGGCCCAGCTTGCCACGGCGTGGCAATGGGTAGCGGGATCACTCGTCCAGGCCCAGCTTGGGAGCGCGAACATCGATGGATGTACGAGGTCCGTTGTCGCTCATCATTTGATTCCAGTGTGGTTGAGTATTGTTTTTGCAGCCAGTCTGGGGCCCCCCCAACGAAAAAAACGCCCCCCCCCAAAAAACGCGAAACACAAACCATGATTCCGTGCTGGCATTGGCAAAACCTGGAACGGAGGCCGCCCTAGAATGATGATTCTGATTGTCGCGGCAGACGCAGACCCCACCCGTCCTGGTCAGTTTGGTTTCTGTGAAGTGTCTGAATGTTGTTGCTGGTCCCTCGGTCGCCGGTCGTCGGTCGCCGCCGCCGGCGGTCGGCGGTCGGCGGTCGGCGCCGATGCCGTCGCCCGATCGAGCGGTTGGGCGGTCCGTCGGTCGGTTCGTGGTCGTCGTCGCCCCAAGGGGGGTGTAGCAGATTTGGGGGGGGGCCCGCCAAGTTGCCGAGGGGGGTGTAGCAGATTTGGGGGGGCCCCCCACATCGCCCCAAGGGGTGTGTGGCAGAGTTGGGGGGGCCCCCCCGTGACCCCCGTGGGCCCCGTTGCCATCTTGGCCCAAACCTTGGGGAGGTTGCCCCAGGCAGGCTTTCAGCTGCCAGAGGCTCGGCCGCGCACGTCTCTCAGAGTCTCGGCCACTTGCGTCGGCGATGGCCGCGGCGGCCGCGGCCTCTTCTGGCGGCATCGTTGCACTTCCGCCGCCGTCGTTTTCCGAGGAGGGGAAATACAAAAACACATGCGAGCACTTCAAGGACTTCGTGGGCCACCACAGGTCCGACCAAGAATGCGCGAAGCTCCTGGGCGACCTCTACCTCAAGGATTCCAACTTCACTCTTGCGCTCGTCGACCCGCAGCAGGACAAATGGATGGTGAAGCGAGGGCTGGGCAACGAGGACAGGGCCAACAAGGCTGCCGCGATGTCTCGCAAGAAGTCGGTGGAGCAGATCGGCATGCTGATGAATATTCGGATGCCCCCTTGGACGATCGAGGCTGGAGAAGATGGCCTGGGGGAGATCATGCGCTGGGGTGCTCTCCTGGAGGGGGTGCACCAAGCTTGGCTCGCAGATGCGGACAAGTCCAACAGGCTGGTGCAGCTCGCAGCCTACACGCCCATCAGGGGGTGCCGCAGGTACGACAAGAGGATGCCATTGCACGCACGGAGGTTTCTTGCATTCCTCGGCAACCTCACACATTCGGAGGTGCTGCAAATCACAGTCATCGAAATGCTCAAGAGCACCGCTGAATGCGAAGCAGGCTTCCAGTGAAGGAAGGAAGCGATGGGATGGAATATTGGTGGTGGTATGACAACTGCCATGATGGGCGACAAGAAATGGGAGTACATCAGTGCACTGTACCCTAGGCGTTGGGATAACTACCGACAGTACGAGGTATGCTCGTCGTTCTACCGCAGGTCCAACCAATGCCTCATACCCGATGGCTGCTCGAACGGCGGAGGCTGCACTGTGTGGGAGTACATCGAGGTGCAGGTTGCCGACTTATGTGATGTGTCTCACCCCATCTTGAAGGCCAAACACACCATCTACCAGATGCTGAACACGATCTTCAAGGAGCTGCACGCCGAGTGCCCGCAGTACGTTGTGCCCGTTGCGATGCTCGTCGTGCCCAGGTTGGAGGCGGCTGGTCGGTGCAGCATATCGGCGGGCCTCGAGAATCCAGCAGTGCCATCAAGGCTGCAACCAGCGGTGGCGACGTGGCTGCACTGGTCGAAAAACAAGCGAAGAAGGTATCGAAGGAGCTCGCGAGGGACCAGAAGAAGGTCGTCAGGGCAACGGCGGCGGCGGCGAAGGGAAAGGCCAAGGCAGCCAAGGCAAAGGGAAACGCAAAGGCCAATGCGAAACTCAGCGTTCAGAAGACGAAGCTCAAGGTGAAGGCCTCGGCGGATTCGGACAGAGCTATCACTATCGAGACAAGGATCGGGCGGTGCCTTTCCTAACCCACTGGGATCACACCGAGGAGTACTTGATGAAGATCGACGGGGCGCAGCGGAATAAGCTCGCTGCATTCGAGGAGCTGGTGCTGGCCGCTGCCTTCGATGTCAAAGTGACGTTGCACCCCCCTGGCCGCGTCGGTGACGGCAAAGTTTGCAAGGGATGGGGCGAGATGCGAAAGGCCTTCAAGGTGGAAGTCTACCGAACAGATGCCCTTGCTCCTCGGCCCAGCGACGTCGACTTCCAAGAGTGCGAGAAGGTCGAGTTCGTTCTCGTATCGGTGGAGCACTTGCTGGGCGTGGCCCGTGGGCTGCAGGGTGACATCAAGTTGCTGATGGAAACGTTTCAGTGCACTATCTTGGACCAGCCGATGGAGATGAGCGTGGCCGTTGCGAAGTGCATGCGTGCGTCCATGATGCAGCTCATGTCGGCGGTGATGGGTTCGGGTGGGTCTCTGGGGCGGGAAAGTTGCAAGCGAGATGTTGACGCGCATCGTCACCGACGAGGTGAATGCCATTGTCCCCGACAGCGTGATCAAGGCCATCGCCGACTTCGACGCCATCAGGGCCCGCCCCGACTCCCACAAGGAGGCGGAGGATTCCATTGGCATTAAACAAGTGGGTGGTGTGCCGACGAGCCAGGTAGTCGAGCGCTACCGCGACGCCATGTTCTTGCACTGCGCTGTCTGCCTGGGGGGCCAGAAGTTCTTGATCGCAGGCAACTGCGGTGGGGGCCAATATTATCTTGGCATCTTCTTGGAGAGCATGAACAAACTTGTTCCCGAGCTGCTGGCCATGAACGGCACTGCGATGAATTCGACCACGTCGATCTTCGATTCCCTGCGATCGTGGATGCGCTCGCAGTCCATCCGCGACGTCATGGATCAATTGATGTCCAAGGCTCTGGAGCTGGCCGCGAAGTGCGCGACCGTCGACTGGAAGGGCTACGTTGACAAACGGGCGAAGATCACGAAGCAGCTTAGCCAGCTCTTGCAAGCGAACAGGGTATACGACGCGTGCCTTCTTATTTCAAACGAGGTTGGGGAGTTGGTCACTCTGGGCGTCAAGGACCTATTCCCCCCAAAGGATCGCAACGATGTGATCCAGAAGTACATTGGGATATTGGATTCTAAGAACAAGGAGTCTGTCGACGCCGAGCTGATCAGCATGGACGTGTGTAAGGCTACAGAGAACTGCCTGAAGAAAGAGATGGCCCCCATAGTATCACCTGGGTGCCAGGACTTGGTCTGCGCGCCGGTGGCGGGGAAGAGTTCTGCCCTCGCAGTCCGCGCGAACCCGCGGCGGTCCATCTCTGAGTGGTGGCTCGGCGTCTTGCAGTCAGAAAAATCAGATGCATCCGCGGCGGCAGAGGGCGACAAGATGTTCGCCGCCGCGTTCCCGACCTACGTCATGAAGAACTTGATTGCGTCCTTGGATGACTACTTCAGCTCGCTGGTGGCATCGGCCTACGCGTCCCAGGATGACCCGCATTCGATCGTTACAGTTGGCAGTGGTACGAAACATCGGTCAGATATTCACTTTAAAGAATCCGATGCCCCAAGCCGCGCGCTCTGGATATGTGGGGCAAGGTGCTGGACAGGACAGCGGCTGCCTCGGCCTCCAAGGCGACTCTCATGCCCATCGAGATGGTCGAAGGCGAGTTCCCTCATGAGCTCGTGGATGGCACTGTCGGCAGCGGCTGCCTCGACCTCTACTTGGACGGGGGCAGGGTCTGCAACGCGCGCAGATCCGACTGCTGCGTCGGCTGGCTGATCAAGCCCGTGAAGGAGCTCTCGGCCGACGTGCAGGAGGCGCTGGCGGCGGGCGTCGATGACGAGACCGCCGCCCCCGCCAAGCGCCCCAAGCTGATCATGAAGAAGGAGCAGGCGAAGTCCAAGCAGACGTCCGCCACGCACGACGTGTGCTGCGTGCGCTTCGAGGTCAAGGCCGTCGGGCCATAGCAAATTTGAGCCAACTTGAGTTAACAGTGGGGGGGGGGGGGGGGGGGGATGATGAGGAGGAGGAGGAGGACGATGATAATGAGCGAGATAACCAGGAGCAGAGGGGGGGTGAAGATGAGGATGGAGAGGAGGATGCGGGAGCCCCCAGGATGAGGAGGAGGACGAAAAGGGATGAGGAGGACCAGGAGGACGGGGCTCCCTCCTCCCTCCTCCCTCCTCCCTCCTCCCTCCTCCTCCTCCTCCTCCTTCCCCTCCCCATCCTCATCCTCCCTCCTCCTCCTCCTCCTCCCCCCCCTCCCGCGCGAGGCCCTGGGCCAGAACGGCGAGCTGGTCACCTACCGCTTCAAGAGGCCCGCGCTGGCCGTCAAGCAGCTGCAGCAGCAGCAGCAGCAGTGCTTTCGCTCGCAGACGCCGTTCGACTCGGCCGAGATCGCGCGCCCCGAGAAGCGCGCCAAGGCCTTGGGCGCGTGGGTGCTGAGGTAGGCGACGCGGCGGCGCGCCAGGGAGGGGGCGGAGGAGGAGGAGGATGAGAGGAGGAGGAGGAGGAGGAGGGGGAGGAGGAGGAGTAGGGGGAGGAGGAGTACGAGGAGGACAAGGACGAGGAGGAGGAGGAGAAGGAGGGGGAGGAGGATGAGGAGGACAACGGGGCCACTGGGATCCCCGAAGCAGGAGGAGGAGGAGGAGGAGGAGGAGGAGGAGGAGGAGGGGAAGGAGGAGGAGGAGGAGGAGGACGCCGACCGTCGGGCCGCCGACCTTTGTTTTTTGCTTCTGACTCTGACGGGCAGGCGCGAGGCGCGACTGCGACGCAGTCGGTCGGGGGCCTGAGACAAGTGCGAAAACGTCGGCGTCGACGTCGTCGACGTCGACGTCGTTGTCGTCGTCGCCGCCGACGTCGACGTCGACGTCGGCGTCGTCGACGTCGTCGTCGACGTCGACGTTTTCGTCGACGTCGCTGTCGCCGTTGCCGACGTCGACGTCGACGTCGGCGTCGTCAGCGTCGTCGGCGCGTCGTCGTCGACGTCGTCAGGGGAAAGGGGGTAGGGGAATGGGAGGTGAGGGGGGCCTTTCTCCTCGTCCTCCTCCTCCCCCTCTGCCTCGTCATCTTTCCTGTAGCCAATGTGGCTCGCGCTCATTTTACATTGGTGCGTCTCGAAGGAGCGACGTGGTAGCGGAGCCGTGTGGTTGTGGGCCGCCAGATCCCCTCTTCTCCAACATCCCTAACTGGCCGAAGCCTGAGCGCGGCCAGCGAGGTGGCAACCGTCCTGGCGATAGAAAACGCCACGGCAGCACTTGCTCAAGCTGGGCCTTCCGGACGCGGAGGGCGGGTTGAGGTCGGCGCTGGCCGAGGATGCAGCGGGTGGCAGGCGCCGGGTGGAAAAGAAGTTAAGCTGGACAACCAGTCCCCGAGGAGAAGGAGCAGAAGAGCCACCCGACGCCCCCATGATCGGGAAGCCGCAGGCAGTGGGGGAGGGCGACTGGGCGAAGGGCCGCCGCCAAAAGGTCGGCCCAGGAGGCCTACGCGCCGGCCCCTGCTCCTCAGGGGCCCGAGGCGCCGAAGACTTCCGGTGGGCGATGCGCCCGAGATGCCGACGGCGGACGAGGCGGCGGAATCAATCTACCAGATGGTGGAGACAGCTTGCCCACCCACCAAGCCGGCGGCCAAGAGGAAGGCGGTGCACCTGAAGGACCTGGCGGGCGAGGAGAAGGAACAGTTCGTGGAGGCGAAGGGCGCGGAATGGAGCCGCGTCCGTAGCGCGAGCGTTGTCCACGTCGTCCCGCTCGACGAGGTAAACGACGTCAGGAGGGGGTGCGGCGGCGGGATCATGCCCAGCAGGCGCTGCTGCGCCTGGAAGCCGAAGGGCGGCCGTCGAGCGGCGAAGCGCCGTTGGGTCAGTCGCTGAGACAGGGGCCCCGACCTCGCTGACCTGGGACCTACTCGCCCATGATCTCGAAGGAGGCCTGGATGATGAGCATGCAGTTGAACATGTCCACGGGCTTCGACGTCGAGCTGGTTAACGTCAGCTCCGCCTTCGTGAACGGGCGCAGGTGCCGGCGGAAGCAGGGCCCCCTGTGCAGTGCTATTGGCCGACGGAGTTCATGGAGCTGAACCCGAGAGCCTGCTGGAGGTGCTGGTCTGCGTTGATGGGCTGGGCGACGCGCCGCTGCAGTGGTGCAGGAGTTTCGCCGCGGAGGCGCTAACCGCGGGCTTCAAAATCATGTCGTGCGCCCCGTGCCAGCTGTATCTGCGCCAAGGTTGCAAGTGCTGGGGGCCGCTGGCACTGGCCGTGGGCGATGCCTGCGCAGGGGGAGATATGAGTACTTCGAGAAGGTGGTGGAGAAGGTCAAGAAGAGGTCCCCGTTCGGGAAGCATCGGGGGGGGGGGGGGGGGCAAGGGCGATTTCCTGGGAAAGCAGCTGGAGCAGTCACCCGACAAGTCAGTCAAGATCAATCAGAAGAGCATGGTGGAGGATATCGAGTTGATCAACATACCTGCGGGGCGACGCGCGATGATCGACGAGGCGCGCGACGAGATGGGGATCTCCGCGCTGAGGGCAGTGGCAGGCTCACTCAACTGTATCGACCGAGAGACGCGCCCGGACAGGAGTGGCCTGTTCTGGCTGCTGCAGAGCACGTTTCCGAAGCCGATGGCGTCAGATTTGTGGGGGGGGGGGGGGGGGCGCCGGGCGAGAATCGGCAGGGGCTTCTCCCGCGGGGGCCTCTGGATCAGGCCGATCGAGCTGAAGAGCATGGGTTTCTATGCGGCGGCAGACGCCGCGGGCGAGCGCGAAGGGCCAGGCGGGCCGGGCAGGCTGGGCCCCCACGGCTGGCGACCTGCGGATCTGCGACGGGCTGCGGGGAAAGATCTCCCCAGTAGCTTGGGCGTCGCGCCGCCTCGCGCGGGGGGCCCCGAGTTCCTTGGCGGCTCGAGCGCTGGGCGTGGGCGAGGGCCTGGTGACTGACATCCATCTGAGGAGTCTTTGCGCAGTTGGCGTTTCATGGCCCGGGCGCCTGGGCGGCGCCCGAGGCAGGGCGGATCTTCCCGCTTGCGGTCGTGTGTGATAACGAGTCCCTGTGCGATCGCCACCGCGACATCTCGGCAGGGTCCAGCAAGGGCCGAAGGATGGCGCTGGACATCGCTACCCTCGAGGAGAGCATGAAGGGGAGTGGAGCTGGGATTCGCCGGGTGGACGGCAAGCGCCACCGAATGTTTCGCTCGTGGGCAGAAGGTGCGCGCCTCCACGTGCACGGACCTGATTCCTTCAGCCTCTGTAGCTGAAGACAGTCTTTGTCGAATCTTGGAGATTGCCAGCGGGAGAGTGCCGATTCGCGCGCTGAACCTAAGATAGCGTAGCAGGTGCAGCAGCAAAAGCCCTCTTACCACCTAATAGATGTTGCATTTCCGCTGGCAGCGGACTGCCCGCGGGGTGAGACAGGCCCTCGCCGGCTCAAGGCAGAGAGACGCTAGGCGGCGCAATCTGCAGGATCATTATGATTGATTCTCGGCTGAGGCACCCAGATGCAGCAATCTACAATCGAGAAAGGCGACGAAAAAAAAACGTAGCGAGCCTAAGCGCAGAGCACGGCTCAGGTTCAGCAGTGTCCTTTACCACGCGCGCGGCCTCCAGGGCGAGGATCGGCACGCGTGGCGAGGGAGGGGCAAACGGTGACGACGAAGTCTGACTGCAGATCCACGTGGTCGCTATTGCTGACAGGCTTCGTGTCCAACGTCTCCACTGCCGCCGCCCTGAACTGAACGGCGGTCTTAATCTAGGGCTGGCTGCGGGCCACGTTCGCGGCAGACTGGTCAGAAAACTTGCGCCGCTGCTCCTCGATATTCTTCTTCGACGTCGAGCGCTGAGCACCATCGCGCCCGCTGACGAAGAGAAACGCGCGCGCGGTCCTACTGGGAGGGATATTGCAGAAGGTTGAGTTCGTCATCGTCGAGGAGGACAGGGTGCTCAAGATGCGCGAAGCGGAGAGAAAGAACACCACGAGTCACCAGGAGAGGGGCTTTCCGGAGACCGACGGCGGCAACAGGAACCCATATCAGCGCCTTGTGTGCGAGGCTTGGTCTTCGAATTCCCTGTGTGGGCCACTTTTAGGTTGCGGAGGGATGCTGGCCAGAGGTGTCTTGGAATCTAAAATCCTGGGGTGTGCGAGTTGCCCTGGAGGTTTCCTAAGGGCATCTAGAGATGCCAGACGCTCGGCCCCTCCGTGACCACGCGTTGGTTCGAGTAGGGGCTTCGGCCCGCGGCCCTTCGTGGGGGTGACACGCGTGTGCCATGATCTGACGCCGATAACAAAAACTCGAGGGGGCTGACGTTTCTTCCCGCAGCTTCACCATTTTCGGCATTATGTTGAATATCCGACGGCTTTCTGAAGAATTCGCAGGAACGCGCGCGTTATCCCACCCACCCGCCCGCGATTTGGTTTGCAAGCCTCATGCGGCGGCGATTGCGATGAGTGCTTGGCGCTGGCTGGTTTATCTCTGCGGCCGCGCCAGCCCGCGCATTCGCGCGCGCGCGCAACGGCCAGGTAATTTGGCGCGACCGACGAGGCCGCAGTGGTGCTGACCGCTCGGCACATCCTAGCGGGGTACTTGAATGTGAGTCGGCGGCTTGGGCGGGTGCGGTATCGTGGCAACGCCGACGGTTGCAGACGCGATGACGATGGTAGTGGCCACCGGTGCAACCTTGGAGGCCTTCATTGAAGATCGTCTTGGACCATCTTGAATGCTCCACTGCGCCTCATCCACGGCGCCTCCGCAATGTTTTTGTTGGTTGCGGGCAAACAGGCGAGCGTCCGAACAGACGTATTGAAACCTCACCCGTTTGAAGCAATGTTTGGCGTATTTGAGCCCGTCGGTGCACAACAACGCAAGACCCACATGACCTCTCCAAGCGCTCGTGGCGTCTGGTGTCTGGTCCATAGTGGCGTCACTGTGATGTAGTACCTGTGCAGTCGGGCTCATGGGGGAAGCTCCA